GTGGAGCTGTTTGTTACCCTCGCAGGACAAGGGAAGCGACCCCCCTATACAGCTTTGGCTGCGGGGGTGCACTGGGTGCATCGTGGCACCCCTGCAGTGCTCTCAGAGCCTTCCAGCCTAGTTTCTTCTAAGTCCCACTCCCTGCACTTCTTCACAGTATTCCCGCACATGTTATCAACATCATGGGCTATTAACTTTGTAAATTTGGGTTACACTAATGCATTTAAATCCTATAGAGATTAACAGTTACGCACAATAAACGGAGCACAAGAGAGGCTGAGATACCACCAACCTTCACAGCTTCTGCACTTGTAGCAAACTGATGAGATTAGGTATCCCCAAATCAGCCAGCAGATGATCCATGGGAAGACAGGAAAAAAACCACCAGGATTCTTGCTGGTCTGACCTGTGCAAAATTCCTTCTGACCTGAAATCTGTCCATCACATTCATCCCAGTGATCTGAGCAGCACATGCCAGCAGGCTGTCCAAGAACATGGATTCTCTGTAGCATCACAGAACACCCTCTGAGGATTATCTCCAGTGTCCATCCACTGCTCAGGGCTTCAGGGAGTGGCAGCAAAATAAAACTCAGAGCATATCTGGTCATTTCTGGGTTAAGGGAAAAGTTAGCAGGGGCTGCTACTGCACCTGGTCTGATTCTCCCCCAGGTGTCTCTTACCCATGAAAATTGCTTCATTTCAGAAACCGCAGAGCAGATAATGATGAGTTATATCACTCCTCTTGTAATCTGTCAGGACATTTAATTTCAAGGATATTACTTCTCCCTGTGAGGCTGAGTTTTTCTGACTTCATCACCCAGCTTTTGGCTCTTGTAGCATTCTTGATAGCAAGGTTGAAAATCCTCATTTAACTTACCTATACGCAAGTGATTAAGTAATCTCTCAACACTGTCTTTGCTAGGTAAGACACTTCAAGATTCATTTTATATGGCTTGCTTTTTAGACCCGATCATTTTTGTGGTCTTCCTTTCAATTCTTCAGGGGTTTCATATGCCTTTTGAAGTGGGTTAATCAGATCAGGATATGCTGTACCAGCAATGGGCTCAGCAAAGTGGTTACTTAGCAAAAGGAAGGTCATCTCTCTACTCTTGTGTGGCATTCCTCTTTTTAAACATTTTTAATGCAGCATCATATTAGTGCTCTTTCATACAGTGATAGGTTGAGGTGATAATCCTTTATGACCTTTAAAATTTGGTGAACAACAGCTTTCTAAACAGAGGATTTTATCCTGTGGGAATAATCAGGAAATGTTTATTTCCGTGTGTGTTCCTTCCATTTGATTATATTAAAATTCATTTCTTGTCATTCGGCTTTTTAGCTGAATAATTCAGGTAACTCTGCAATGACTCTGTTTTCTTCTACCACTCTAACTGCAGACTTAGCCATCATACATTTAATAGCTGTCTAAATTATTGATAAAAACATACGATATATAAAATTTGAGGAGCCTTCCAGAACTAATTCCTTTAACAAGGAGTTAGACAACATTTTTAAGAATTATCAGCAAGTCCATTTTTTAGTCTAAGGCCTGCCTTTTAAATTTGATAAAGTTTAAGGTTCTTATTTTTAAAGAACCCACATTTTTTAGATTGACATTTTAAACAGTTTTTTTCAGACTTTATTACTCAACCAATACTCTTTTTCCTGTATTGACTGCATTATATTTGCAGGTCACTTTTTAACAAAACAGTATTAATTCAAGCTTATAAAAATGCATATCTAGTGACCATTCACCACAGAATTATTTAATTGGCACTATAAATTTGAATGTCAAACAATTATAGAATGTTCTTTTTGTGTTTTCCAGTGAAACAATTCAGAATTTTTTGGCCGTCTCTTCTCAGGTTCTTTCCCTTACAAGGGGGATCCTGATGACAGTTGGGGGCATTTACTTCATGACAGAGATGTCATGTGTTGTAGCTCAGAAATTATCAAAATAACCATGAAGTCATCTATTCTGTTTTGAATCCCTAGTAATTTGTAATATATTTATATCAAATCCAGTTATACCAAGTATATTTTTATATGATGTCTTTTTAGAAAATAATTTTGTTTAGTTAAAATCTCAGGCAGAATACTTCTCTTTGCCCTATAATGATATTACATTTCTTTACCAAGAGCATTGTATTTCTATAGGTTTCAGCAGATCCCTGCTAATACCGCATTTTCTTTGCACAGAGCATGAGGAAAGACCAGAGGGATAGAACGGCATTTTTTATTTTGTTCATATATTCAAAGATGCTTTCATTAAATGTTTATCTCCTTCCATAAATAAACCACACAGTGTACCACACAGCAATGACATAATTAACTGCTTGTAATATCAGAGGATGTTACCATGGGAATGAATGATGGTTCTGAAATATTACTACTTCGCGCTATGTGTAGAAATTAGAAATAGGTTTTTGATTCTGAAAACAGAGGAAAGTCATTCTGTGATCTTTGTCTCCTTCTTAGGGCTATGCATCAGAAAGAGCTTCACTTTTCTTCCCCCTCTCCTTTAACCACTGAAGAACTGCTAAGGTGGAATGCCTTTTAATGCCTCCAAGGACAAATGTTGGAATTTTTGTATGTAAAATGGCCAGACAGGGAAGCAGATTTTACTTCTGTTCCCACCCTTTTTCACAAGCTTCTCATAGCTTTAAAAAAAAAATAATCCTGTGTTCAATTTTTCCATTACTGAAATGAAGATGCATCCAATCTTGTAAGCCTGTCCTGCGGCTTTGTTCGCAATATAAATGCAGAATGTTACTCAGCTGATAGTGAAAAAGTATAGTTGCCATAGCTATTACTGCTCCAGCATCATCACAGATATATTTTCTTGATGTTACTTTTTCACATACACTGGCCTTTTCAGGAAATAATATTGTCCCTGGTGCATTCAGTAATATGGTAATGTTCTTCAGCATTTTTCTTTCTGTGAGGTACTTTTTGTTAGTGCACATAAATACCTCAAGGCTCAATGATTCAGAAAGCCATAATATACCAGTTAAGTATTACAATATTATAACCTGTCATAATATTATTTACGTTTTGAAGAATTTTGATTGTTTCCTCCTTTCTTTGCTATGTGGAAAGAAAAGTGTCAAGCTAGCAAGTGCATTCAGAAGAAGGTTTTCCCTGGTAAATGTGACCTCTGTCTGATGTCTTAGAGCAGATCATAAATAATTTGTTTAAGAGACGTGCACCCAAACATCACTCAGAGCGCCCCACTGTATCTGCTGGAAGGCTCCTCACTTGTCCTTCACATTTGGCATGGAACTGAGTTTGAGGAGTTAGTTCAACATGAAGTCAATCTGGAGGGTCTCAAAGAGCAAAGCTTCATTACGTTCCAGGCTCAAGCCAACACAGTGCTGTTAAATGCCAGTTCAAGTGACACCGGTTAATGACACTGCCTTCTGACACAGTCTGCTGTTCTAGTATCTGTAGGGCTTGGAGCATGTCGGCACTGGCCCAGGATTAAAGCACAGCCTCTTAACAAAAAGTAAATCAAAACCCTGGAGAAGTATCAGTCCTTCATAGA